GTCCAAAAGGGCAGCAAACACTCTGTGTTGCATTATGAAACCAATCATACATTATACTATTAGGAGGACCAGCAGTTGTAGTACACTCTAGTGTGATATCATCTCCTCTGTCCAATGTTATATTATTGACAGGACTAATGGTTGAAAATCCCTCAGGTGATGCTAGTGAGAAATGAAGCAAATTATAATTGTAGGATTTTAAAGAAATAAAATGCATACTTATAATTCCTGAAGTAGCAGTACCACTTCCAGCAAGATTTAATGCTTGACAAGTATATGTACCAAAATCTGCTCCAATTACATCAGTAACAGTAAGTGTACTGGAAGAAGTTGATTCTATTATGAATCGTCCTCCATCACTGATTTGATTAGCATTATGTCTCCAAGCAAAAGTATTTCCTGGTCCTCCTCCAGCAGTACATGTAAAGGTTACATTGTCACCACCACTGACTGTGGCACCACTGACTGAGACCATAATACTGCCTGAAGGATTTACTACCAGAATAAAAAGGAAATGTATAAGAGCAGTTCAAAGATAAAGAGAGTAAAAATTGGCCACTTTTAAAAATGGCCATAACTTGAAAAATTTAAGTCAAAACCAGTTCAAACTTTCTACACAACATAAGTACATCAGTATGTATCAGAAAATGTAATAAAAATTGGAGGTTATTTTGGAGCCATTTTTTGAAGAAAACCATGGGCTATACAGGGATTTTTTTCAGAAATTGGCCAATTTAAAAAAAGCCATAACTTGAAAAATTTAAGTCGGAATTAGCTCAAATTAACTTTTTACACAGCATAACTACACCAATGTGTATCAAACAATGTAATAAAACTTTGGGGTAATTTTGGAGTCATTTTTTGGAGAAAACCATGGGCTATAGTACAGGGATTTTTTCGGAAATTGGCCAATTTTTAAAAAATGGCCGCAACTTGAAAAATTTAAGTCGGAATCAACTCAAACTTTCTACATAGCATAAGTACATAAATATGTATCAGAAAATGTAATAAAAATTGGGGGTAATTTTGGAGCCATTTTTCGGAAAAAACCATGGGCTATAGTACAGGGATTTTTTCAGAAATTGGCCAATTTTTAAAAAATGGCCGCAACTTGAATAATTTAAGTTGAAATCAGCTCAAACTTTCTACATAGCATAAGTACATGAATATGTATCAGAAAATGTAATAAAAATTGGTAGTGATTTTGGAGCCATTTTTTGGAAAAAAACCATGGGCTATAGTACAGTAATTTTTCTGGAAATTTGCCAAAAATTTAATAAATGGCCATAACCTGAAAAATTTAATGCAGAATCAGCTCAAACTTTTTACACAGCATAAGTATATCAAGGCGATTGCCTCCAAAAAAGAGCTTACCAGTAACAAGTGCTCGAGTTGATGTAGCATTCTCTTTTATACCATCAGCAGTAGCTACACACCTGTACATACCATACAGGTCATACTCTATATGTAAAGTCAGTTGGTAGCTAGTTTGACCAGTCAAAGGCTCAAAGTACCCACTGGTTCTATTCATCATCTCCCACTGATAGTTAGGGGCTGGGAAGGAATCAGCAGAACAAGAAAGTGTAACAGTTTCATTGACATCAGTGAAGACTTCCCTTGGGTCCTCTGTGATGACTGGTATAACATAAAGTGTAGTGGTATTGCTCTCTACTCCAGCAGCATTCACCACATAGCAAGAATAACTACCACCATCTTCAGTAGCATTGATTGAGTATAGAGTAAAAGTAGGCCCATTGGATAATGTAATGTTTGATAGTTGGTTAACTATGTCACCTACTGCAATTGGAGACCCAGAATTAAGTAGTGAAATAACTGAAGGATTGTTAGATATTAGAGAATCAAGAGCTGATGGTCTCAGCCATATGAATGTATTATTGGGTCCTCCTCTGGATAGACAATTGAATGTAACGTCAGAACCATTTTTAGTTATGATGAAATCAGGATCAATAGTGACACTGCTATTGGAGGATACTATGAATGGAGAGAGAGAGGGGGGTAAAATTTAATAGTAAGTGTTAGTAGTGATAAAAGTGCTATATCAATTGTAACTCACCAGTAATCAGTGCTGGTTGTGAGTATATTCTTTCATTAATGATTGGTGTAGTTACTGCACAGCGATACATACCAAACTGATCATAATCAATCTCTTCAGTGGTGTAACTGGACATTGTTGCACTAGGAATATTTTCATATATATTAATATTAGTGTTTAATACCTGCCATTGATAGGTGGGAGGAGGGTAGGAGTCAGCCATACAACTAATGGTAACAGTATCTCCTGGATGAGCATATTGATCCATTGGGTTTAATGTTATTACTGGTGGCACATACAGTGTAACATTATCAGTATCATAACCAGCTTCATTGACTACTATACAAGTATAATAGCCACCATCTGCT